TTTTTCGGTCGCGTCAGCAAGCGAAGGCGCACGCGGAGTCAGGAGCGCTACGGGTCACGACAGCGGCCTAATTAGCAGCTAGACGCGCCGCAAGCCGGCCGGCCCACTCATACAGCAGCAGCCGACTGCGCGGGAGAAGCTGCAAGCAGGGGGCGTCCAGGTTGCTCGAGCACTTGCAACACGGCAAAATGTCGGTGAATTCAAGAGGTGCCGAGTGGCAAACCCGAAGGAGCAAGAGGACGATAGCTGTGGGTGGCGCGTCCAACATGCCGTCGGAGTGTCCAGACGTGGTAAGCGATGGGCCGTCGCCAGTGGGGAGCCAAGCCCGAGCCGCGCCAACGGCGTGCGCGAGCCAGCTGAGCTGCTCCGCCGAGGAACGTCGAATACCAGGCTGGGGGTGAGACGGGCCCGGGGGGCGGCCGAGGCTGCGAAGGCTGAACCACTCGAAGCGGGCTGACCTCCGGGGGCCGTCAACCCGCGCAACAGGAGGAGCCACCGATCCTGCAGGGGGCCATCCACGCACGGCTGCGCGGGCGCCGGCTGAAGCGCTGCGTGAGGCCAAGCTGGCGGGAAAGAACATCGCCAGCAAGGAGGGGCGCCCAGGGTGGAACTGCACGGCAGCAGCCGCTTGATGTACGCCGAAGGCCACCGTGGGACGGCCTTCTCCGCCGAATCCGCACTTCCCCGAAGGGAACCAGGGCCACCGTCGAATCCGTCATTCCACGCGGGCGTCCAGGGTCGCAGCTAACCGCCGCTGAAGGTGAGGTCACGTTACCGCTGTCAGCGGAGGTCCTGGGCAGCGCTGGGGTGTGGGGACGAAAGCCTCCGAGACCAGGATACAAACCTGGCGGCAACCCAGCCTGGGGGAGACCCGGAGGGTGGGGCGGTGGGGACAGACATCACCGACCCCCCACGCGGAGGGGCTCCCAAGGGCGTCAGGCGCCCGGCGGGTGGGGCGCAAGGAAACGACCACCTCGAAGTCCAAGGGCAGGGGACGTGGCCTGAGCCCGGCCCGAGAGGGACCCGAGGAGAGAGGCGGCGGGGACAGACATCACCGCACCTCGCACGGATCCCAGGTGCACCTGGCCAGGGGACACGGCCGCCATTTCCCGAGGGGCATCCAGGGTCGCAGCTAACCGCCGCTGAGAGGAAGGCAAGACCGAACGGTCGGTCTTTCGTCCAATGCTGGTGTGGTCCAGGGTGGGCAGTCTGCAGCCAATGGACTGACTCGCTGAAGGCTGGGCTGCCACCGCGGAAGCCGGCGCCTCCGTGGGGACGGCGCGCGTTGGTTCATCCAGGGTCGCAGCTAACCGCCGCCGATGTTCCGGCGCCTGCGGTGCGACAAAACTGAGACCTAGCTAGGTCGAGCCCGCGACCAGGCAGGAGGGGGGGATGCTGGGGCCCACCTCCCGCCCAGGGTCCGCGCGGCAGGCTGTCGTCATCGGACAGCAGCAAAGTCTGGGCGCCTGGGGGCTCTGCCGGCGTGAGCCAGGCGGGCCCCGCAGGGCCAGCGAGGGTGAGATGACGGGCGCATGTGGGGGATGCCCCAGCGGCGGGCCCGAAAAGGTGGCGGGTGGTCCACTTACCCAGCGAGGGCTGTCTAGCTAAGCTGCGCCGTGGGCGAAATGTGGGGGTGAGCCGTCGCCCCAGCGGAGGGTGGCCCCAGGTATTACGGCCTGAGCCGGGCGCAGCGAGGTGAAACAAGCCCCTTCAGGGCCACGGGTAGCTGGAGGTGGGGGGACCATGGGTCCTCTCTGGGCTGATGCCTGTACCTGGGTGTTGGTACGCTGAGGTACGCCGTGGCGGGAACACGTCAACCCTGGGTGTTGGAGTCGCTCTTGGCCCACCAGCGGGCCCGCTTTTCGGAGTCGCGGTCGCCCCCTCGTGGAGAGCATCGTTTGCCCCTGCCTTTCCAATCGGAGTCCGTCCATGGGGTGTCACGCCGCTCCCACGAGGACCATTCTTGCCAGCCCCGCCAGTGGCTGGGGGTGGCAGTTCCAATGGCTCCTGCCAAGGGGTCCTGGTCCGCTGCACCAGCAACCGTTCGGTTCTCGGCAGTCCAAGGGGCTGGCGTGTCGCGGCTGCCGTGCACGCGCGGGGCGTGTGCGGGAGCGTCGTGTCGCACGGGGAAATTCATGTGCCTGCGCCGAACTTCGACCCAGTCTACGCAAAGTCTGAGCTCACGATCCATCCGATATGCGTCGTAGCCAGCGTTGGGCCATGCTTCCAGGAAATCCGCGCACGTCGCGGGTGTGTTGAGCTTGGGGGTGCTCTCATAGCCTCCCTTGAGGTCCGGACTCTGGGCTGCCCGCTTAACCCACGCGTGCCAGATAGCGTTGAAGGTGCCTCCCAATGTCTTTTGCAGGCGTGTAATTTTGTCCTGGATGGGTTCGTCCTTTTCCACGTTTGCGCCTGCTATAGTGCATCTGTACATGGGGCCGCCGCCCTTGGGGTCGCTAAGGCACTCGTAGTATGGCTGGGCACCCCTACTGTCCTTCCAGGGCTCCCTGCGAGCCTCCGTGCGCACGTGGTTCCCCCTTGGGGACTTGGCGGCGCGTCCTCTCCCGTCTCCGGCGTCTTCAGAGGCAGGGCGGTCGCGTCCTTGGTCCCACGGGGTGGACTTGGGCGTGCGGTCCACCCTGGCTCCCGCGCGATCCCAAGACGATGCGCTGTCCCTTCCAGTGCCGTCTTTGGCACGCCGGAGCTCCAGGGCTGCAACTTGGTCGACGGTCTGTGAATAGGGCGTCCAGGGCTTGCTGCTTGGAGGTGTTCCCGTGGATGCTCCTAGGGGGTCGAAGGGGTCTGCTTCCTCGTCCTCGTCGACGACAGGGTCTGGGCTCGCGCTCGGGCTCGTTTCCTTGGTTGTGGCTGCCGCGGCTCCTGGGTGATCCCCCCAGTCAGGCGCATCGTGCTCGCCTTCGGTCTTGCATGCCTGCCCGCACCTGCCCTGCACGTCCGTTGGCCGGTCCTTGGTCCCTTCGTTGCCGGGAGCCTCGCACTCCCTCCTGGGGGCGTGGCCCAGTAGTACCTCCTGTTCCAAAAACCGGCTGTCTGGGGGGGGGGCGTTTGCTGCATCGCTGGGTCTGTCCAGCCAGCATGCTGCAGGAGAGTTCGCTGCGGCTGCGGCCTCCATGGCGGTCTGCACTGGGTCCAGCTGCTCCAGTGAGTTGATGGTACTGTCTGCGAGGGTCGTGGGGTCCATGTCCACGAGGTATTGCAGTAGGGTGCTGAGCCTGTGGCGGAGGGGGCAGAGGCCTCGCTGCTGATCCAGGTTGGCCGCGTGTGCCTGCCATTTGCCCGCATGCACCACATTGGCCCGCGTCAGGTGGGAAACCACCCGTGCCGCTGCCGCCCGTTGGCTGTCCCATGGAATACCTGGGGGATGGCACTTGTCTGGGATCGTCTGCCCGTAGATGCTGACCAGGAAGGGGCGCAGACAGCATCAGCGGTGGGGGGCCCCGATCCTTCGCTGCTATGAGGGGGAAGCGGGACGATGAATAGGGATGAAGGGGGCGGTGGGGGATGACAGCAGGGTTCTTCCTTCTCGACCACTGCTCCAAGCCAGCAAAAGCACGCACCTCAACAAGATGACTCTGCTCGTCTCCCTGGACGGACGTTGAATCACCCT